AGAGAGACAGAGACAGAGAGACAGAGACAGAGAGAGACAGAGAGAAGGGGGAGGGGCAGGGGGAGGAGATGGCTTAGTGTAAAGTGCTTGCTATGCCCGAATGGGGACCTGAGTTCCATCCCATGCCCCCTAGAGGACATGCCCCTTCATTGTAGAGGCACCTGGCTGGTTTCCTGCCTGAATGTGGAAGGTTTGAGATAACACCAGCTTACTTGTGTCTATTTAGGGGAGCACACAGACAGGCCAGAACTGAAGGAACAGCCTACCCACCTACATGAGATCCCATGAGGCCCTGGTATGTGGCAACAGGAAACAAGAGGGGATACCCACTTCTTTTGTGCCAAAAGAGGCCAATGAAGCCCAGGTGTCAGAAAGGGACACCCAGAGGCTCATGGACCAATAAGCTGGACACTCAGTGAAATTTGATCAGAGGTGGGCTGGCACAACAGAAAGAAACTCATGACTCCATGACCAGGCCCAACTTTGATCTAAGGCTTTGTGAGTTCCAAGCTCATATCTAATGACTGAGCCTGGAGATTCTCAGCCCCTACAGCTCGCCTCTGGCCCAGATCCTGTCAGTATTGCTGGGACAAAGAGCCCCACCATCCTGGGCTTTCCTGTCCTCCACTGGAAGGTGTCTTGTTAAGACCTCATCCAGGGAGCAGAGCAGGCTGCAGTGCTTAGATTCTGTATCTAGAGCATCATCTTCCAGTTGAGGAGAACGAGCCACATCAAGTGGGCATGGACTGCTCTCTTTTGAGGGATTCCCAGTGAGGCTTAACTCAGTGTTAAGTCACCCTGAATGTGGACATTCTATGGGCTGGGGTCCCAGGCTGAATAAAAAGGAGAAAGTGAGCTGAACACAGGGTTCATCTCTCTCCGCTTCCTGACTGCAGATGCAGCATGACCAGCTGCCTCACACTCCCGCCACCATGCCTTCCCCACCATGATGGACTGTACCTTTGAACTGTGAGCCAAGATAAATCCTTCCTGCCTTAAGTTGCTTTTATGAGGTGTTTTGTCACAACAATGAGACAAGGAGTTAATGAACAGGCCATCCATCTGTTGCCCACACTTGCACCATGGCAGACTTCCCAGAGCTCAGTGGACATGACACCTTTAGGGCACATGGCCAGGTTACTTAGCCACCACTAGGGGATGGTGTGCAGCCTCATCCAGATCCCCAACTTGAGGCTCAGAAAAAGATGGGCACTTTGGGGAGTGATTATATATGACAGTCACTCCTTGTGTAGGCAGAGCATCCCAGGGACTTCCACAGAGACCCAGCTATGCAGCCAACATTTAGGCAGGAAGCCTGCGTGCTGGGTGAAGCTTGGGGGTTCCCCTCGCTCCCTCCTTACTAAAATAGGGAGGTGATCTTCAAGCCCTTTTCAGGGAGTCTAGTGCCTGGAGCCACTGGGTCTCAGTCAAGGACACACTGACACACTGCCATGCCACCGTGGCCCATAAGGCTATGCAGCTGAAAAGTACCCTCACATCCAGTGTGACAGCTCCATGTTTGTGGTGATGCTGCTGGGAGCTCATGTTAAAGTACAGCATACAGTTCATGATCCCAGACATAGAAATAAATGTCCATCACCCACATAGGCGTTTACTTGGGAACGTCCTTCACCCTTAAAGGGTGACTCTCACTGACATCCAGGGATGGCCTGCTCCACCCAGTGTGCATGCGCACAGCCCACCTGCCCAGTGCCACCCTGCTCAAAACACCCAAAAGTAAAGGGGTACAAACTGCCATGGTGGGAAACTGGCTTCTGTGATTTTTAAAACAAGCTGGGTTATCTTGGCCTGGGTCTGTTTATTAACAGAAAGCTGAACCTGCCCCCTGTTTGCACTTGGCAAAGCGGAGGGCTGGCAGGTGTCGCACAAGCTGGCTGATACCCCAGGCCTATTCTCCCGAACTGTGATACGGATGCTGTCTGACCCTTGCTCTCTTCCTCCACAAGGTGGGAGGAGGAAGAGGCCCCCTCCCACCTTCAGAGAGGGGGCACTTTAATGCCTGCTGTGTAAGAACTACTTTGCTTCTTTCTTTTAAGAAAGGATGTCACGTAGCCCAGGCTGGCCTCTAAGTCACAAGGTAGCCAAGAACAACCTTGAATTTCTGGTTCTGGAATGCTGGGATTGATTCCAAGTGTGTGCCACCATACCCGGTTCATGAGGTACTGGGGCTGGAGGCCAGGGCTTGGAGCATGCTAAGCAAGCACTGCCTGGGCCCTAGATGTATGGATGTGGCTCTCATGGCTGCTCTTGCTCCTGAAACCTAGGTTCAGTTCCCAGCACCAACATGGCGGCTAACAACCATCTTTAACTCCTTCCAAGTGATCTGACACCCTCTTCTGACCTCCACAGGCATTGCATGATATGGGTTCACTTATACACATGCAGGCAAGACACTCATTTTATAAAATAAAATAAATAAATAAATTTATAAATAAACAAATGCTTCTGGTCCTGGAGAAGTGAAGACTCAGAGGCTGACAGTAGGTGGAGGAAAGACACATGTGGGGAGCATTGTCCGTGTCAATCGAACCTCCAAACAGTCCTGCACTAATGCACCAATGAACCCCCACTCCGTACAGGGGCGGGATCCATGCTCAGGAGCCCCTTCCAGACCTCAGTCCGCCTGAGGTAGCAACCACTCTGAAAAAAAAAAAAAAAAAAAAGGAGGGAGGGGAAGAGCTGATGCCAAAGCCTAGCCTGGGCTGATTATTCATCCTTCAAGGAAGAGTGGTAACAAACCCACTTTACAGACAAGAAAACAGAGGCACAGAGCTGTAAAAACACTTGCCTAAGAGTGCTGGGCAAGCAGGCTGCAGAGCCAGGGAAGGTGGACCCCACAATATGCCAGATGCATGTGTAGTCCCCTCTAGCACCCCACGCCCTCTAGCTCTCCTGCTGTCTGCTTTACACCTCCTTCCCACAGAGGCCCAGAGAAGACAAGGCACCCATCTGATCTCACACAGCAATGCAGTGGCCCAGTTGACTTGAGGCCTCTGGTCCTAGCCATCTCTGGGAGATGGTTCAATGGGTAAAATGTTTGCTGTGCAAGTTTGGGGATCTGAGTTAGAATCCTCAGCACCCACAGAAAAAGTCAGATGCACCTATAATCCCAGCATAGGGGAGGTGGAGACAGGGGGCTCCTGGGACACACACACACATACACACACACACACACACACACACACACACACGCATGCACGCACGCACGCGCACACCAAAAGTTAACACCCAGAACCCGTGTCTACATGTTTGCTTGACAATTTCCTTTCTCATTTGAACTTCTCCAGGCTTACAAGGTGGCCCATCTACTCCCTATGATGTGGACAAGAAAACAGAGAGCCTAGGACACCTGCTCCCAGCAGCTCAGCATCCTCCCCTCTCCTGAACACAGATGATCCCCAGGGTTGCAGGGGCTCCAGCTCTCTGCTCCCTGCCCCATGACAACATACGGATGCCAGATCTCCTCATTCCCTACTGGCTTCTTCATCCTAATTTATGAACAGCCAAAGCTGAGATAAACAGGCTGGGCATTGTGGGAGGAAGAGGGAAGTGAGGAGGCGGAGCGGAAATACTAATTGTTCCACACCGAAGATGGTTTCAATTCCTTGCTGTAGGGGAGGCTGTGTTTAATTAACTCTGCTCTTGTGCTGGGGATAGGGCCTGATTGAAAATGAGCCATGGGGTCTCTGCAGCACAGCAAACCAGCCCTGGTCCCTGGGACATCTGGCCTGGCGCTCCTGAGCAGGGAGGCCCTGAGGCCTGGGGTCCCTGGTGCCCTTGCATGTGTGGACCTGCAGGAGGTCAGGCTCGATGACAGCCCCTTTCTTCCAGGCCTTTCCAGTCTGCCCGCACCTGTCCCTGACTCTTGCTGGTATTGTTAGGTAATAAGAAGCTAGAGAGTTCCCCAGGTTCACTTACATAAGGGCATTTGTGGATCAGGTACCCCAGAAGCAGGGGTCATGGCTGGGCCTGAGAGAGACAGTGAAAGGGCCAAGCCCAGTGCTCTGGTGACGCCGGCCCATGTGGGACCAGGCTGCCCCCTGGACCTGCCCAACCTCCTCCTTTTCTACCCTGCTCCTCTCCCACCTCCCTGTCTTGGGGAGCCCCATACAACACCTCTCAACTAGCTTCCTGTTTAGAATCTCTGAGCAGCAATGTGAGTGTGCACCATGGCAGTCAGGGCTGCTCTGTGCAGTGGGGTGGTGGAGACAGTAGAAGCCAAGCTGCCCTGCTCTCCAGAAATTAAAACAGGAGTGATGTGGGACCGGCTGGGAGTGTGTTATGTGCATCTCATCTGGACCACTATGTGTGCAAGATGGCTGCCATATGTTCTGGGTGTGTCTCTCTGACTCTGCCTATGTGTGAGCCTCATTTTCTTTGATTGTCAAACTACTCAACGCATTAAACTCTGGATCATGAAGTTCAGGGTTCTCACGCCAGCAGGCATATGGCACTGCTGTGTGTCTCCAGGCAAGTGCCCCTCCCTCTCTGATCAAGCCTCTATAGAAGAACCAACTTGAAGATGCTTTAAAAAGTTCTCCCATCTCAGACCCCAGGCCTGGTCCCTCTGTGGGGCAAATGCCACCCAGACCTCTGTGGGGAGGGGATGTAGGAGGGGCCGCATTATTTTTAGTTGTTGATTGGGGGCCTGTGGCAGCGGGTGACCCCAGCTTTTCAGAAGCTGCGCCAACTACTTAATCAGACCTCTCTAGGCTGGGCTGATTAATAGAAGCTACTGCTTTTGAAAAAAAGAAAGAAGGAAGGGAAATGCTCTGTAGATCAGCTGTTTATTTAACTTTTCCTGGCATTTAATGACTGCGAGGCTTGGGAGAGGGGGAGAGATGGAAAATTAATTTGAGCCGTGCCAGAAAAGCCAGTCAGGGAAATAATGAAGTTCCCAAGTCTCTGGGAACAGGGAGACGGGGAGAAGCTGTAGGGGGCTCGCGATGGATCTGCTGTCGCCCTCGGAGCCTCCAGGCAAAGAAGAGGAGGAGGCCACTGCACATGGAAAACCCCAGCTTTTCCCTGTGATCGTAAGATGGAGGAATTTGGGACTGCAGGGAAAGCATCCTCTGCACAAGCTCCAGGACTAAGTTCGGATCCAGCACCCAAGCAAAATCCAGCAGTGCACGCCTGCAATCCCATGCTGACCCGAATGCGCACCTGCAACCCGCGCTGACCGGCAGTGAGCGCCTGCAATCCCGTGCTGACCAGGAGGAGCCAGAAGACCCTGGAGCTCACAGCCCCCAGAATAGCCACAACGGTGAGCTCCGGGCTCAGCCTGTCTCAAAAAATAAGAAGAGCAGTTGAGGAAGACACCTGACGGCGACCTCCGGCCTCCACATGCACGTGCATGCATACACACAGACACACAGACACCACACACACAACATGGAAGGAGAAAGAGGCGAGGACCAACCCAGAATTTGCAGATAATAACTGATCGTGCACTCGCACTCATGGACTCAAACAGCAGCATATCATGAACACACGCATACACACATACACACATGAACACACTCAGATATGCACACACATACACACGTACACTCACACACAGTGAACACATACAGCTGCACACAGAGACATGAACAAATGCATGTACAAACACGTATACACATATATACAGAAACAGACACACAATGTACACACATGTGTAACATGCACACACATAGATGTGGACACATGCAAACACACAAATACACAAATATGTATGCCAATGCAAGCTCTCATGTGCACACAGATGCACCCATAAGTATATATACATATATATATACATGCATGCACATATGCCATGCACATAAACAAGTACATGTATCCACATGAGTACATGCCCATGCGTATACACAGGCACACATGCATAATCACACATACCCAGGTATATAGGCATGGAGGCACATACACACATATGCATAGATATAAGAACAAATACATGTGTTCACATACACAAACTTGTGCACACAGGAATGTACACATATGGACATGCATACACACACTTGCAAGCATGTATAAACATTTGTATGCGCATATACAGCTGTGCACACACAAGCACAAATATACATCACACACAACCGGGCACACACACCCTCATGTAAGCAGACATCTATGTACACCTGTGCATATGGCCAGACATGCACACAGAGATACAGTCACACAAGCGCATCTGCACACACATAAACACATACAGACTTGCATACATGTGCACTCACATACATGTACACATGCACAGAAGTGCATGCACAAATGTGCATACCTGCACACAGATGGATGGACACTCATATGTACAAACGGGCACATATCATACACGCACACACAAATATGCACACACACTCAAATAAGCACACATATGCATACAAGTGGACTCACACCATACACAGAGAAGCACATACATGTACATATGTGCACACATGCCCATATGCTCATATCTACACCCTTATGCACACATTCACCCTCACATGTTTATGAACACAGACTACACAAAAACTTGCATACACAATAGTACCCATGTATGCAGTCACACAGGCATGCATGCATGCACATGCTCACCCACTCATACACACAAAGATGCACACACAAACATACATGCACACAAAACATTCACATGCAAAGATATGCACTTATACACATGTGTAGAAATGACATGTGCTCATGCAGACACACATACCTATGCACATGCACACACACCTGCTATTATACCCATACATGAGCCCACACATATGCATACATGCACATGACTGTAAACCTCACAAGTTCACACACAGCCCACACATATGCACAAATACACTCGTGCACACCCACAACACCCCTGCAGGCACACACACACTTGTGCACATATGCACAGACACATGCGTGCACACACGTGTGTGAACATATGCACAAATGCACTTGTGCACACCCAAGCTGGCATGCACACATACCTATGTAGGCATACACACATTCATAAGCACACATATGCCTACCCACACACGTGTACAATGGTGGCATCAGGGACAAGAAGACCAGGGTGAAGCACAACTTGGAGGAGGAAGAACCATAAGGACCCGTGTCTCTGGTTTCTCTTCGTACAGCTCTGACGCTAGGACCAGCGCAGGCAGGAAGGTGATGGTCACACAGGCTCAGGTCTCAGACCTGCAGCTTCCACCCCACCTCAGCCTCTGTCCTGTAAAGTCAGGATATACGGGCCTTGGCTGTAACCAACCCTGGGATGGGGGCAATTTCAGGGACATCCTCAGATGATCCTCATTTGTGTATGTTGGATCACCTGCCATTCTGGAGTCGGTCATCGACGTAGCCAGGAGGATGGACTGTGGTGACCAGCAGACATGGGCAGGTAACCTCCTTGCCAGGGTTGGACCATGGAAAGTGCATGCCTCTGCCTGAGCCAGCGCTCCCCACTGGGTCAGTGTCCACGCGGCCCTCCCTCCCGGTGCCTCCCAGTCCAGTGCAGATGCCCTCACCTCCGGCCACCTGCTGCCTGGCTCCAGGGTGGAGATGCTGGCCCTCCACACAGCTGTTTACTTTTTGCTTTGTCAGTTGGATACTGACCCTGCCCCGTTTTTCCTGGTGTCTCACTTAAATCCTTCCTGCTTTTGTGGTGGGGTTCTATGGGAAATCACGAGCTTTCCCAGAACAGTCTTCCTCCTGAGCTCTTCTCAGACTTCTTCTCTCATAGAGTCAATACCTCACTTCAGGACACAGCACACACAAGCTGATGCAATGGCTTTTTCCAGAAGAGCGAGGATCCAGCCCACAACAGCCCCCAGGCTGATGCGTTCTTAGGAGAGGCCCTGAGGCCAGTGCCTGGAAAACTCAGTGGTACCTCCTGCTCTCAGCGAGCCACCTCCCAGCACCCCCTCCCCTTCAGCAGCCTGTGGGGGCTGAAAATGGATGGATGGGAGACGGTCATCTTCTTCTCCTGCCCCCGGCATCAGCACCGTGTCCCATCCCCCTCCTGGCTCCTGGGGGCTATGGAACTCTTCTGAGGAGTTGGCCCAGTTCCTGGCTCTTACCACTCTTGGGAAATCAGCTCCTTGCATATGGAGCCAGGATGCCGATGGAGAAGAGCCGGCTCCCCACGCAGAGCAGCTGGGAGGATGCTTTCCCTCTGATGACTCTCCCAAGCCTGTGGCTCTGGTGTCCTCATCTGACCCATGGTAAATGCCTTATTTCTAAGATGAAAGACCAAGGTGGAGGGGTACCCTAAGGAGGTAGAACAGCTGCTCAAGGACATGGGGTCAGAAAGTCAAGAAGGTCACCAGGAGGCTGTGGGGAGAGCTCAGCCTGTAAAGCACTTGTCTTGTAGGCAGGAAGACCAGATTGGACTTCCAACACTCACATGAACTGAACATGCTAGCACAAGCTTGTAATCCCAACGCTGGTGAGGAAGAGACAGGAGGGTCCCTGGAGCTCGCTGGTCACCAACCCAGCCTAATCAGCCAGCACCAGGTCCCAGTGAAAGACCCTGTCTCAGAAAACGAGTTGAGGGGCACCTGAGGAAAGATAGCTCAGTTCATCTTCTGGCCTCCACATGACCCCCTAAACACATACAAATTCACCAGTTCCCAAAGGCATCCACAAGATGAGACAAACCTGGATCCCTCCCAGCACCAGAGACCCAGGGCGTGGTGATAGCAGCTTCTCCGGGTCCTACTGTTATGACAAAATAGCTGAAGCTGGACCCTTTATAAAGAATAGAAATGAATGTTCTCATAGTCCAGGAAGCTGAGGACTGCTTCCAACACAGAATTTTATGTCCAGGTCTTCATAGGGAAGGGGACAATCGAGCCCTCATGTGGCAGAGGGACGGGTAAGGCTAAATGCTGTGTGAAGCCTCTTCTGTGTTACAAGGGTTTGAGCCTCTTCCACAGAAGTCCCCTCATGCCAAATCACCTTGAAATCCTGCCTCATAGGGAAGTTAACTTGGAGGGGACACATTCCAACCCCGCTGTGTTCCCTCGAAGCAGGCTTGGTGACTTCTTCCTACACAGTGGGCTTTGTTGGCTGAGCATCACTCAGATGGATTTAACCCTATTGTGGTTGACTCTGCTTTGAGCACTGTCCCCAGCCACTGGAGTCAACCTTCAGAGAGTGGAGCCTGACTATGGAAGTAGGTCACTGAGGGCCTTTGAAGGTGACACCTGCTTTTGGTCCCGCACTCTCACTGCCTCCTGTCTGCAGCCTTTTCACCCCTGGCACCTTGGACAGAGCCACGCCATCTCAACGTGGCAAACTGAAATCCACCTTTCCTTCCTTGTTTCTGTCAAGTATTTTGTTACAGCAATTGAAAAAAGAAAAAAAAAAAAAAACACTAATCAAGTTCCCTTTCTTCTTTAGGGAGTTTGCACTACGGAGTCCCTGGGCCAGCCTTTGGCCCCTTGAGATATGGATGATTCTGTTAAGAAACGTTGAACCTGAACAAATGCTCTCCACATCATTCATTCGCTCTATTAATGTTTGTTGAGCCCCTACTATGTACTTGGTACTGGGGATGGAGCAGCACTGTGACTGATCCCCACCCCAGCAAGCAACTAGGCCAGGCCAGTGATGAGCTATAGTAATGCTTAGCTGGGTGGTCAGGACAGCATACCTGCTGTCTCTGATAGCAACAAGAGATGGAGTGTGGTGGTTTAAATGAAAAATGCCTCCCATAGGCTTGTGTATCTGAACACTTAGTCCCCAGTTGGTGGTGCTGTCTGGAGAAGAGGTTCTGGAACCTTGTGGAGGTGTAGCCTTGCAGGAGGGAGCACCTGGGGGTGGGCTTTGAGAGTTTACAATCTCACCTTTCCAGTTTTCTGCATGAGGTTAAAGATGTGATCCTTCAGCTTTCTGCTCTGGCCACCCCACCCACTGCCTGCCTCCCCCACCATTACGGCTGCTCCCTCTGGAACCATTAAGCCAAATAAACTCCTTCCATAAGTGGATTTTGGTCATGGTGTTTTATCACAGTGACAAAAAGTAAAAAAAAAAAAAATGCAGGAGCCATGCAGAAATCTGGGGAGACCGTGCCACAGATAGGGTAGGGGCAGAAAGACCCACACCTCACGGCAGGAACAGATCCGTCATCCCAGCCCAGCAAGAACAAGGAGGTCCCTGCAGATGAGGGGAAAAGAGCAAGAGGTTAGACAGCAGAACATGAACTGGGCCTGCAACATGGTTCCGTCGGTAAAGGAGCTTGCCCTCAAGTCTAACAACATGAGTTCAAGCCCCAGGATGCACATGGTGGAAAGAGAGAGCCAAAGTTCACAAGTTATCCTCTGATCTCCACATGTGTGCAGAACATGTGTGCATCTTAAAGCGTGAAAGCCTGAGATCATCGGGTTGAGCTGGGCAGGTGGCTTCACTGCACCCAGTGAAGACCTTGGATCTTCTGTGTGCAATGAAGCAATCTGCTGACAGGAAGTGTCCCTGGAGCCTGGCCACCTAGTGGTTCTGTAACAGCTGTCTTTGGGGGAGAGCTTCAAGGCTGGTGGACCAACAAGTGACCCCCAAATTCAAGTGGAGTCCATAAATTCAGGGATAATGAGAACAGAGAGGGTTGGGGTGGTACCAAGATGCATCAGGCCCCCACGTATGTGAGGCCCTTCCCGAGTCATCTTCCCTGCTGGGCCTGGGCTGGTGAGACAGCTATCCAGGGCTTACAGAAAATCTGAGGTACAGGGAAGGATGATCTTCACAGTACGTGGGGCTGGAGGGGCATGGAGAGGGAAAAATGACAGGGTGCTGCCAGGGGAGGCAGGTGGCACAGCTGGACTCCTCAGGAGGAGCAGGACATGGTGGCACTTTGCTATGCCACCTGCCCACTTGGCACAGCTGGTGCTGGGCTGGAGCCCGCCTCTTCTGGAGGAAGACATTCCAACAGCTTCTGCAGGAGAGTCCCAGACAAGTGAGGGACTTGGCTCCAAGAGGCAAGTCAGAGCATATCCTTACAGTCACCCAGCCTCAGTATTCGAACCCAGATCCCCTGGCACCAAGCCTCTGATGCTTCACACAGCAGCTGTGTGACTACAGAGAGCTCTCTGCTCCCCAGCCAGCTCCTGGCAGGGGCTTTCACCTGCAAAGTTGACTTTGGGCTCAGGAAACAAACCAGTGTCCACATCCATCAAAGCAAAGTCCCCTTCTTTGAAGGAAGGCCATCGTCACTGAAGGGTTGGCATTTGGAAAGAGGGACCAGTTATGGTGGCACCCAAGCACTGACACTCCAAACTCACTGGCAGTGGATGAGCCACAGATATTTCAGGCCAGGGCCCCTCCCAGCAGCTGTCACTCATAGCACACAGGTAGCGCCCACTCTGTTAGAACCTAGGGAGGCTCTTGCAAAAGGGTGTTAGGCCTCAGTCCAGGGAGAGTGTGTTCACAGAGGAAGCTGGGGGATCTTCAGACAGCATCCTACTCCAGCCCTCCTGCTTGCAAATGGGAAAACTGAGGAAGGTCCAACATCACACAGATGAAGTTCAGGGGCAATCTGGATGAGAACCCCCTTTGGCTGACTCCTGTCCAGACAAGGGTCTCTCCCAACAGCATCAAATTACTCCATATGCCTCTGGAGTCGGGCAGACTGGCTGGTACTGGTCTGTAGGAAGATTGGCTGGGCTTGTTGCACACCTGCAGTCCAGAGGCCGCAGCAGGCCCAGACGTTCAAGAAGTTGAAGGTCAGACCGAGCAACATGGTGAGACACTGTCTCAAAATTTTTTAAAGGGCTAGGGAGATAACTCATTTGGTTAAGTGCTTATATGAGGACCATAATTCGATCCCCAGAACCCACATAAAAAGAATCTGGGTGTGGTGGCCTGCATCTGTAGCCCCAGCACTGGGAAGGCAGACACGTGAATCCCTGGGGCACTCGAGCCAGCCTAGCAAATCGTTGAGCCTCAGTTCAGTGAGAGATCCTGTCTCAAAAAACAAGGTGAACAGCGCCTGGAAGAACAACACATAAGCCTGACCTATACACATAGACACAAGTATCCACACCAATACACACACACACAGTTGTGTACACATGCGCACACATATCCACATGAGCAGGCATACACATGCCCACATATAAAAGGGATTCTGGAAACTCTCCATCAGCTTCTTTCTAACGGCGTCTGTGCCACAGGCTGTTGGGTGACTCTAGCATAGAGTAGGTGCCCAGTGCCACCCCAGGATACCTGCCCTACCATTTGCTCCCACAAGACCCACAAACTGGGGCTAGAGAGATGGCTCAGTGGTTAAGAACACTGGTTGTTCTTGCAGAAGACCTGGGTTCGAATCCCAGCACCCCCATGGCAGCTAAGAACTGTCTGTAACTCCAGTTCCAGGGGATC